TCACATGTCACAGTAAACACAGACAGGACTAGTAATTGTTGTCATGTCATGTCACAGTAAACACGGACAGAAGAAGTGATTGTTGTCATGTCACAGAAAACACAGAAAGGACTAGTAATTGTCGTCATGTCACAGTAAACACAGAGAGGACTAGTAATTGTCGTCATGTCACAGTAAACACAGACAGGACTAGATATTGTCGTCATGTCACAGTAAACACGGAGAGGACTAGTAATCGTCGTCATGTCACGGTTAACACAGACAGGACTAGAAATTGTCGTCTTGTCACAGTTAACACAGACAGGACCAATAATTGTCGTCATGTCACAGTAAACATAGACAGGAGTAATAATTGTCGTCATCTCACAGTAAACACAGGCAGAACTAGTAATTGTCGTCATGTCACAGTTAAAACAGACAGGACCAGTATTTGTCGTCATGTCGCAGTAAACACGGACAGGACTTGATATTGTCGTCATGTCACAGTTAATTCAGACAGGCGCAGTAATTGTCGTCATGTCACAGTAAACACACACAGGACTAGTAATTGTCGTCATGTCACAGTAAACACAGGCAGGACTAGTAATTGTCGTCAGGTCACAGTATACACGGACAGGACTAGTAAATGTCGCCATGTCACAGTAAACACGGACAGGACAAGTAATTGTCGTCATGTCACAGTAAACACAGACAGGACTAGTAATTGTTGTCATGTCACAGTAAAAACAAACAGGACCAGTAATTCTTGTCATGTCACAGTAAACACAGACAGGACTAGTATTTGTCTTCATGTCACAGTAAACACAGACAGGACTAGTAATTGTTGCCATGTCACAGTAAACACAGACAGGACTAGTAATTGTCGTCATCTCACAGTAAACACAGACAGGAGTAGTAATTGTCGTCATGTCACAGTACACACGGACAGGACTAGTTATTGTAGTCTTGTAACAGTAAACACGGACAGGACTAGTTATTGTAGTCTTGTAACAGTAAACACGGACAGGACTAGTAATTGTCGCCATGTCACAGTAAACACGGACAGGATTAGTGATTGTTGTCATGTCACAGAAAACACAGAAAGGACTAGTAATTGTCGTCATGTCACAGTAAACACAGAGAGGACTAGTAATTGTCGTCAAATCACAGTAAACACAGACAAGACTAGTTATTGTCGTCATGTCACAGTAAACACGGAGAAGACTAGTAATCGTCGTCATGTCATGGTTAAAACAGACAGGACTAGAAATTGTCGTCTTGTCACAGTTAACACAGACAGGACCAGTAATTGTCGTCATGTCACAGTTAACACAGACAGGAGTAATAATTGTCGTCATCTCAGCGTGAACACAGACAGGACTAGTAATTGTCGTCATGTCACAGTAAAAAAAAAACAGGACCAGTAATTCTTGTCATGTCACAGTAAACACAGACAGGACTAGTAACTGTCGTCATGTCACAGTAAACACAGACAGGACTAGTAATTGTCGTCATGTCACAGTAAACACAGTCAGGACTAGTAATTGTTGTCATGTCACAGTAAACACAGACAGGACTAGTAATTGTCGTCAAGTCACAGTGAACACAGACAGGACTAGTAATTGTCGTCATGTCACAGTAAAAACAAACAGGACCAGTAATTCTTGTCATATCACAGTAAACACAGACAGGACTAGTTATTGTTGTCATGTCACAGTAAACACAGACAGGACTAGTAATTGTCGTCAAGTCACAGTAAACACAGACATGACTAGTAATTGTCGTCATATCACAGTAAACACGGACAGGACTAGTAATTGTCGTCATATCACAGTAAACACGGACAGGACTAGTAATTGTCGTCATGTCACAGTAAACACGGACAGGACTAATATTTGTTGTCATGTCACAGTAAACACGGAGAGGCCTAGGAATTGTCGTCATGTCACAGTAAACACAGACAGGACTAGTAATTGTTGTCATGTCACAGTAAACACAGACAGGAATAGTAATTGTCGTCATGTCACTGTAAACACACACAGGACTCGTAATTGTCGTCATGTCACAGTAAACAAAGACAGGACTAGTAATTTTCGTCATGTCACAGTAAACACGGACAGGACTAGTTATTGTAGTCTTGTAACAGTACACACGAACAGGACTAGTAATTGTCGCAGTGTCACGGTTAACACAGACAGGACTAGAAATTCTCGTCTTGTCACAGTTAACACAGACAGGACCAGTAATTGTCGTCATGTCACAGTAAACATAGACAGGAGTAATAATTGTCGTCATCTCACAGTAAACACAGACAGAACTAGTAATTGTCGTCATGTCACAGCTAAAACAGACAGGACCAGTATTTGTCGTCATGTCGTAGTAAACACGGACAGGACTAGATATTGTCGTCATGTCACAGTTAACACAGACAGGCGCAGTAATTGTCGTCATGTCACAGTAAACACAGACAGGACCAGTAATTGTCGTCATATCACAGTAAACACAGACAGGACTAGTAATTGTCGTCATGCCACAGTAAACGCAAACAGGACTAGTTATCGTCGTCATGTCCCAGTAAAAACAAACAGGACTAGTAATTCTTGTCATGTCACAGTAAACACAGACAGGACTAGTTATTGTCGTCATGTCACAGTAAACACAGACAGGACTAGTAATTGTCGTCATGTCACAGTAAATACAGACAGGAATTGTAATTGTTGTCATGTCACAGTGAACACAGACGGGACTAGTAACTGTCGTCATGTCTCGGTTAACGCAAACAGGACTAGAAATTGTCGTCTTGTCACAGTAAACACAGTCAGGACTAGTAATTCTTGTCATGTCACAGTTAACAAAGACAGGACCAGTAATTATCGTCATGTCACAGTAAACACAGACAGGAGTAATAATTGTCGTCATCTCACCGTGAAAACAGACAGGACTAGTAATTGTCGTCATGTCACAGTTAAAACAGACAGGACCAGTACTTGTCGTCATGTCACAGTAAACACGGACATAACTAGATATTGTCGTCATGTCACAGTTAACACAGACAGGCCCAGTAATTGTCGTCATGTCACAGTAAACACACACAGGACTAGTAATTGTCGTCATGTCATAGTAAACACAGGCAGGAGTAGTAATTGTCGTCATGTCACAGTAAACACGGACAGGACTAGTAAATGTCGTCATGTCACAGTAAACACGGACAGGACAAGTAATTGTCGTCATGTCACAGTAAACACAGACTGCACTTGTAATAATCGTCATGTCACAGTAAACACAGACAGGACTAGTAATTGTCGTCATGTCACAGAAAACACAGAGAGGTCTAGGAATTGTCGTCATGTCACAGTAAACACAGACAGTACTAGTACAGTGCTGCTATCCTATAAGTTGACATTTCTATCCTATCCTATCGTGTATCCTGCATCCACAATCCTATCCTGTGATTTCAGTCTAATCCTATCCTATCCTATCCTGCAACTCTCAGTTTTTAAATATTTAGGAATTAACTTGACAAAACGTAAAAAAAAGGAATAACCAGCAGAAAAAAAAATTCAGATATAATTATGGTACTCATTTAAATGTTATATATTTTAATGGAGAAAAATAATTGAGATCGGCATTCCATAATTCTCGACTCACCGCACAAATTAAATTTACGATTATCATTACCATATGTTAAAAATTAATGTAAACAAACAGATCGTTATTAAATGTGGGCACGTACTGATTTTGCGAACATATGTAAAGAAATTGGGCTTCCAGAAGAATTAAGGAAAAAAATATAATTAGCGTTTTAATTTCCCTACTAACAATGATTGGGAGACCCGGGATCGTGACTTGCGTCCGGCGTGTTATAATCAATTATTTTTTAAAAATCATAGGCCTGTATGGTAATAATGTTAAAGTATGTTTCATGTAAAATTTTATTTTTTCCTTAACTGAGCACCATGAAAATATCATGCATGTACATGTATAGTTAACTGAGCACCATGAAAATATCATGCATGTACATGTATAGTCTAATTGTTCCTGTATAACAGGTTTTTCTGTATGCAATTCTAAAAAAGAAGATATGACTAGACCATAAACCAAACAGAGAAGTCAAAATGTAGATCTAGAATATCTTGACTTTCACATATTAAACATTTTAAATGTGAAATTGTTATGATTTTTTTTATTTAAATTCATAATTTATACTTATCTAAAATTTTATTTCATCATCTGATGTGTTATTTTTCAAACATGTAAAATATATAGTTGCTAAATAAAATTTAAGATAATCGAAATGTTTTTTTTTTCATTTAACTTCAGTTTCTTTTCAGTTTATGGTCAGCTCAGTGCTGTACACATGTATTTCAATTTTTAATTTTGTTTTATGTGTGAAAATTTAATAATTTATATTTAATAGAATATCTTTTCTAAATTGTTATCATCTGACAGATTTACAGTCATAAATACTGTAGTGAGGTCACACAAGTTCCTTAGATCTTATAAAACATGCATAAGAAATTAAGAATTCACAGTATTTTTAACTCATTCATGAGTAAGCCAGGCTTGTATTTGACCTTGGCATTTGATCTTAAATGTTAATCAGTGTCTGATTGAGAAATATTAAAATGCTCCACACATGTTTCTTAGATCTTATAAAACATACATAAGAATTCACAGTATTTACAGCATTTATAACACATTCTTGAGTAAATATTGTATATGACCTTGACATTTGATCATAAACTTTCAGTGTTTAATGAGGAAAAATACTTTATCAAGTTCACAATATTTTTATTCAAGGTGATTCCTCAACAATGTGTAACAATTGAATATTTCATTACCATGAGACAAAATCAGTAAAAGTATCCATGTACAGCATTTATGAATTTCAATGCAAAGATCACAGATACATGTACATGAACTTTGTTAAATTTAAGTTTATCAATGTTTTTATCACAGTTGTATAATGTTTAACATGCATATGATTTGGCTTCCTTATCCATCTTTCAAATTTGAAATTCAAAGGTCAGAGTTATTGTCAGAGAGATGGTCATAAACCGAACAGTTCTACAAATGTCAATAATGCACAGAAAACAAACACTGATCGCTTTTAAGAAAAGCCCCATGATTTCAGACTTGGGACTCTTTGACACTGGTTTGAACATCTTTCATCATTTACTCTAACAGCATATGGCATGATCTGCATTCTTACAGCTGCAAATGTGCAGGGTTTCCTGAAAAAAAAATATTAAAGGCATGTATTTTAAACATGTTAAATTTTGTCATACACATTTCATACACATTTAAAATTTAAAATGATTTTGATTGTACAATTGGCTTTAATTTCACCGTTTTCTCTCCCAAAAGTAACGCATTTTGAAATCATGAAAAATAAAATCTTATACTGCAACCTCAGTCATATAAGATAAAAAAAATCTTATTTAACATAATTTACTTGTACATTATAATTCATTTCATCTTGTCAACTTGCTAACAAGTATGAATACATTTGTTTGAGTGACTTTTCTCTATATTCTGCTTGTATTTATCTATTTAATGTTTTTTCTTGGTTTTCTCTTTTTTGGTCTTGAAATTTGAATATGAAAAAGAAGAAAATATCTATAAAACAACAACATGATGACCAGATGACCAGAAAACTTTCCTCAGTTTTATTCTCAAGATTCATTTTTGAAAGAAGAAAATCACTTGTTTAGAGAAACTGCAGACATGTCACCTCAACTCAGATAAAGATGTTTATGTATTTTAAAGACCATGTAAAAATACATGATAAAAATAAAATCATACATACTTTTTAGATTAAAATCCTTTATACTGTGATGACGTGTGAGTCCGGGCAAATCCATTCTCTGTAATGATGAATATTAAAAGATTGATTAATGTTTCATAAATCACAATACATCATATATACATGTACAATATGTAAGTGCACTGCTGAGTGAGCTTATTAAACATTTAAGGCAGTAGCATTAGAAATGGTCATGATGATTCTACTTTCATTTATTATAAATTACACTGAAATGAAAGTAACTATTTTCTGACCTTATTAGGGAAATGATGAGAGTAACAACCTGATTAAGGCATAATACATATGATTGTTATAGTCTTAGAGCTCATTGATAGCTGATTGAATCATATGACAGAGTATTTGTAAACATTTATCCCCCTTCTGTCTACACTACTTCTTTTTTCCGCATCCAATTTTTGTTTATATTAAATAGAATAAAATGTTTATGGTTTTAGACATTAGAACATTGTTTAAAGAGATAAATATGTATAAAAATGCAAACATGTACAGTGTACAGTCACAGTGTGTAGTATACTTACATGACCTCGCGCATCTTCTATTCAAGTCCGCTGTTGACAGTTCCTGTGGAATTATCCAAATAAACAGAGAATATTTAACAGAAAAAACATGTTATTACACTTTTACACAAGTAAGAATCGGTTAAATCTTCCAAACAAGCTGAAGAAGTATGGTCTTTCGATGCCTAGACTCTTCGTTGTTTACATTCCCAAAGTCTTCCGGTGATCGTTCACGGTTAGATCGTACGCCGTGTTACTCGAAGTTCATAATGTAAATCCGTTTTGAGAGAAAAGAATGTCTTATTTCCTATTGAAATTTTATAAATATTTCTTTTGTAAACATTTTATATCGTATTTCGTTTTCGTAATTTATTCTGAAATATGAATGAACCTTTGCTCGAATCTGATTGGCTGTAGGATACAGGATAGGATAGGATAGGAAAGGATTGGATTAACTTCTATATGTTTCTATCGTGAATCCTCAATCCTGAATCATATCCGATACCATCCCATGTCAACTTATGGGATAGCAGCACTGTAATTGTTGTAATGTCACAGTAAACACAGACAGGACTAGTAATTGTCGACATGTCACAGTAAACACAGACAGGACTAGTAATTGTCGTCATGTAACAGTAAACACGGACAGGACTAGTTATTGTAGTCTTATAACAGTAAACACGGACAGGACTAGTAATTGTCGCCATGTTACAGTAAACACGGACAGGACTAGTGATTGTTGTCATGTCACAGTAAACACAGAAAGGACTAGTAATTGTCGTCATGTCACAGTAAACACAGACAGGACTAGTAATTGTCGTCATGTCACAGTAAACACAGACAAGACTAGTAATTGTCGTTATGTCACAGTAAACACAGACAGGACTAGTAATCGTCATCATGTCATGGTTAACACAGACAGGACTAGAAAATGTCGTCTTGTCACAGTTAACACAGACAAGCCCAGTAACTGTCGTCATGTCACAGTAAACACAGACAGGAGTAATAATTGTCGTCATCACACCGTGAACACAGACAGGACTGGTAATTGTCGTTATGTCACAGTAAAAAGAAACAGGACCAGTAATTCTTCTCATGTCAAAGTAAACACAAACAGGACTAGTAATTGTCGTCATGTCACAGTAAACACAGACAGGACTAGTAATTGTCGTCATGTCACAGTAAACACAGAGAGGACTAGTAATTGTCGTCATGTCTCAGTAAACACAAACAGGACTAGTAATTGTCGTCATGTCACAGTTAATACAGACAGGACTAGAAATTCTTGTCTTGTCACAGTTAACATAGACAGAACAAAAAATTGTCGCCATGTCACAGTAAACATAGACAGGACTAATAATTGTCGTCATCTAACCGTGAACACAGACAGGACTAGTAATTGTCGTCATGTCACAGTAAAAACAAACAGGACCAGTAATTCTTGTCATGTCACAGTAAACACAGACAGGAATAGTTATTGTCGTCATGTCACAGTAAACACAGACAGGACTATTAATTGTCGTCAAGTCACAGTAAACACAGACAGGACTAGTAATTGTCGTCATGTCACAGTAAACACAGACAGAACTAGTAATTGTTGTCATGTCACAGTAAACACAGACAGGACTAGTAATTGTCGTCATTTAACAGTAAACAAGGACAGAGCTAGTAATTGTCGTCATGTCACAGTAATCACAGACAGGACTAGTAATTGTCGTCATGTCACAGTAAACACACACAGGACTAGTAATTGTCGTCATGTCACAGTAAACACAGAGAGGACTAGGAATTGTCGTCATGTGACAGTAAACAAAGACAGGACTAGTAATTGTTGTCATGTCACAGTAAACACAGACAGGACTAGTAATTGTCGTCATTTCACAGTAAACACAGACAGGACTAGTAATTGTCGTCATGTCACAGTAAACAAAGACAGGACTAGTAATTTTCGTCCTGTCACAGTAAACACGGAAAGGACTAGTTATAGCAGTCTTGTAACAGTACACAAGGACAGGACTAGTAATTGTTGCAATGTCACGGTTTACACAGACAGGACTTGAAATTCTCGTCTTGTCACAGTTAACACAAACAGGACCAGTAATTGTCGTCATGTCACAGTAAACATAGACAGGAGTAATAATTGTCGTCATCTCACCGTGAAGACCGACAAGTCTAGTAATTGTCGTCATGTCACAGTAAAAACAAAGAGGACCAATAATTCTTCTCATGTCACAGTAAACACAGACAGAACTAGTAATTGTCGTCATGTCACAGTTAAAACAGACATGACCAGTATTTGTCGTCATGTCACAGTAAACACGGACAGGACTAGATATTGTCGTCATGTCACAGTTAACACAGACAGGCGCAGTTATTGTCGTCATGTCACAGTAAACACAGACAGGAGCAGTGATTGTCGTCATATCACAGTAAACACAGACAGGACTAGTAATTGTCGTCATGCCACAGTAAACACAGACAGAACTAGTAATAGTCGTCATGTCACAGTAAACACAGACAGGACTAGTAATTGTCGTCATGTAACAGTTAACACAGAAATTACTAGAAATTGTCGTCATGTCAGAGTAAACACAGACAGGACTAGTAATTGTCGTCAAGTCACAGTAAACATGGACAGGGGTAGTAATTGTTGTCATGTCACAGAAAACACAGACAGGACTAGTTGTTGTCATCATCACACAGTAAACACTGACAGGACTAGTAATTGTCGTAATCTCACAGCAAACAGAGACGGGACTAGTAATTGTCGTCATGCTACAGTAAACACAGACAAGACTAGTAATTGTCGTTATGTCACAGTAAACACAGACAGGAGTAGTAATTGTCGTCATGTCACAGTAAACACGGACAGGACTAGATATTGTAGTCATGTAACAGTAAACACGGACAGGACTAGTAATTGTCGCCATGTCACAGTAAACACGGACAGGACTAGTGATTGTTGTCATGTCACAGTAAACACACACAGGACTAGTAATTGTCGTCATGTCATGGTTAACACAGACAGAACTAGAAATTGTCGTCTTGTCATGGTTAACACAGACAGGACCAGCAATTGTTGTCATGTCACAGTAAACACAGACAGGACTAGTGGTTGTCGTCATCACACAGTAAAGACTAAAAAGACTAGTAATTGTCGTCATGTCACAGTAAAAACAAAAAGGACCAGTAATTGTTGTCATGTCACAGTCAACACGGACAGGACTAGTAATTGTCGTCATGTCACAGTTAACCCAGACAGGACTGGTAATTGTCGTCATGTAACAGTCAACACAGACAGGACCAGTAATTGTCGTCATGTCACAGTAAACACAGACAGGACTAGTAATTGTCGTCATCATCACAGTAAACACTGACAGGACTAGTAATTGTCGTCATGTCACAGTAAACACGAACAGGACTAATATTTGTTGTCATGTCACAGTAAACACGGAGAGGACTAGGAATTGTCGTCATGTCACAGTAAACACAGACAGGACTAGTAATTGTCGACATGTCACAGTAAACACAGAGAGGACTAGTAATTGTCGTCATGTCACAGTAAATACAGACAGGACTAGTAATTGTTGTCATGTCACAGTAAAAACAAACAGGACCAGTAATTCTTGTCATTTCACAGTAAACACAGACAGGACTAGTAATTGTCGTCATGTCACAGTAAACAAAGACAGGACTAGTAATTTTCGTCATGTCACAGTAAACACGGACAGGACTAGTTATTGTAGTCTTGTAACAGTACACACGGACAGGACTAGTAATTGTCGCAGTGTCACGGTTAACACAGACAGGACTAGAAATTCTCGTCTTGTCACAGTTAACACAGACAGGACCAGTAATTGTCGTCATGTCACAGTAAACATAGACAGGAGTAATAATTGTTGTCATCTCACAGTAAACACAGACAGAACTAGTAATTGTCGTCATGTCACAGTTAAAACAGACAGGACCAGTATTTGTCGTCATGTCGCAGTAAACACAGACAGGACTAGATATTGTCGTCATGTCACAGTTAACACAGACAGGCGCAGTAATTGTCGTCATGTCACAGTAAACACAGACAGGACCAGTAATTGTCGTCATATCACAGTAAACACAGACAGGACTAGTAATTGTCGTCATGCCACAGTAAACACAAACAGGACTAGTAATTGTCGTCATGTCCCAGTAAAAACAAACAGGACTAGTAATTCTTGTCATGTCACAGTAAACACAGACAGGACTAGTTATTGTCGTCATGTCACAGTAAACACAGACAGGACTAGTAATTGTCGTCATGTCACAGTAAATACAGACAGGAATTGTAATTGTTGTCATGTCACAGTCAACACAGACGGGACTAGTAATTGTCGTCATGTCTCGGTTAACGCAGACAGGACTAGAAATTGTCGTCTTGTCACAGTTAACAAAGACAGGACCAGTAATTATCGTCATGTCACAGTAAACACAGACAGGAGTAATAATTGTCGTCATCTCACCGTGAAAACAGACAGGACTAGTAATTGTCGTCATGTCACAGTTAAAACAGACAGGACCAGTACTTGTCGTCATGTCACAGTAAACACAAAAAGGACTAGTAATTGTCGTCATTTAACAGTAAACAAGGACAGAGCTAGTAATTGTCGTCATGTCACAGTAAACACAGACAGGACTAGTAATTGTCGTCATGTCACAGTAAACACACACAGGACTAGTAATTGTCGTCATGTCACAGTAAACACAGAGAGGACTAGGAATTGTCGTCATGTGACAGTAAACAAAGACAGGACTAGTAATTGTTGTCATGTCACAGTAAACACAGACAGGACTAGTAATTGTCGTCATTTCACAGTAAACACAGACAGGACTAGTAATTGTCGTCATGTCACAGTAAACAAAGACAGGACTAGTAATTTTCGTCCTGTCACAGTAAACACGGAAAGGACTAGTTATAGCAGTCTTGTAACAGTACACACGGACAGGACTAGTAATTGTTGCAATGTCACGGTTTACACAGACAGGACTTGAAATTCTCGTCTTGTCACAGTTAACACAAACAGGACCAGTAATTGTCGTCATGTCACAGTAAACATAGACAGGAGTAATAATTGTCGTCATCTCACCGTGAAAACCGACAGGTCTAGTAATTGTCGTCATGTCACAGTAAAAACAAAGAGGACCAATAATT